CCTGATGTGATGCTGACATTCGTTAGTTGTCTGTCCCCCTTGCTAGGACATCACTTCTGTGAGGGGTGTGCTGCCTCCTCTGCCATCTCCCTGGGAGCTAGCCAGAGCATGAGACTCAACAGGTGCAGAGAAACAACTGTTTAATGGACTAATGAAAGGAGCTAAGGGAGGAAAGAGGGACAGGACAATTTTACCCTTTTTCGCACTTTCTCTTACATTGAGCATATATTTGTGTACTTTTTATGAAATTAGTGAATGCAAGTTTAGAAAGCAAAAATTATTGGTTAATATGACTTCAAAGATTTTTGTTTTTAAATCAAAGGCTTCTCTCTCCATTCCTGTCCTGTTAATGTTTATTTCCGAATCTCTTTGTGACCTGCTCTCACGGACTTCACTGCACACTATCTGCCTTAGATACTTCAGGGGCAATGAGGAAAACTGAATGGAAAACAGACACTGGAAGAAGACCTTTATTGTAACGTCAAAGATTCAGAGAGGTACAACTGGATGTGCAGAGCGGGTTTTCCTGCTCCACAGCTTCAGCCTCTACGGAATGTCTAAAAGCCACACGCTTTCACCTGCAACAGACTCCCAGAGAGGTGCGATGCAGGTGGGCGGGCTGTGGACAACCTAAGACAGCTGTGGGTCTTGATTTTACGAAACAAAGGGTTAGGTTTAGGCTAGACAATAGGTGAATCTTTCCCTGTCTTAAATTCAATGATTTTCTGTCCCTGAGAATGACATAAAATAAGGCGATTCTAGATGTCCTCACATGAGGGCCCAGAGAATGTGTTTCCACCTCTGAGTCAGACTAAGCGACACCGGGAGCCTGCCTGCCCCCATCGTGCGACGGCCCACACCTCGTGTACAGACCTCCCGGGGCCCTGGACACGGAGGTACGTGCCGGGACAGGCTGTCCACCTGATTCTGAGAACAATCATACTCTTCACAATGCTGGGACTGCAGGTGCACTGCACCGTCTGAAACCAGCTTTTTTTTTTTTTTAACCTTAATTTCTGTTCGTATGTCATTAAACATTATTCAAAAGCTCTGAAATACACAAGATGAAAACTAAGAATAAAAGCTGTAAGAACAGGATATTCTTGGCTATCAAAACAATTCTGTACATCTACTGCTTTATATTAACTTTAGAATATATTTAAAATAAATATTTTGAGAACACACACTAATCCTAGACCATAATATTTTGTCGAGTTTTATGTTTTTACATACTTTATAAATGTATGATAAATAAAATTTTATGTATTTCAGAAAGCTCAGATATAAAAAGTAGGCTAGTACTATACAAATTAAATTATTTTTGTGAGATGATTTTGGGGAGTTTATATCCAAGGAAAAGATACACATCTGTGGTTATTTCAACCTCTGTAACTTCTCCATCATGAAAAGGGTGGTTAAAACAATACGAGTAGAAAAACGATGAAGAATAAACTTGGCCTTATTGAAAGTAAACAAAGTTCAAGATTTCTTCACTTATGATGGCTGAAACCTGTTTGTGCTTATAATCAGAAAGTGCAAAAAGTTTTCTATTGTTGCTGCTTTTGCTATAATTACAATAATTACATAGTTTGTTACTATGGTTATAATAAAATTACAGATAGGAATAAACCTATTTAAGTAATATGCTTAAAGCAAAATAAATAGAAGTCAAATAAGGCCAGTTACCATGAACTAACTACTTAAGCAAAATATTAATAATTCTTTTTAGTTAACACTGCCCAACTGCCCAAAGCTGCTCTAAAAATAAATATTGATAATTTACTTCCACATTCACTTTTTTCCTTTCTTGACGGAATGAATGGCTTACACTGCCTTAATTTCCCTTCTAAAATAAACAGTCTTACCATCACGAGCTGTGGTTTTTAAGAATTCTCCGCCAGCATGGTCTTTGCATAGTGAGTCACAGTGACAGGCAATACTGACACAAGGAAAAGCACTCACTCTAGTCCATCACTTGTTTCAGGCACCACTTTTTCTTTTCACCTATAAGGAAAAGGCTCAGCGAAATGTATTCACAACAGCAGCTTTGACCAAGGAACCTAGAAATTCCACGGGGCAGTAGGCCATCAATTCCCATAGGAGGTAAAGTATCACTGTAAATACCACACACACATCCTTCAGTTAAAATGGGGGGCGGATTTTAATAGTGAGAAAGCTGGGACAGACTTGGAAGATGGAGGCACTGCTACGTAGTCTTAGGACAGAGAGACGTGTAAAGGGGATTCACATACTTTCACTCTGTCCTCTGGGCAAGTTCTCCCTTCTCTCCGCAGACGTCTCCGCATTACAGTCACCCACAGAGCTCAGCTGACAATCACTTTGTGCTCCACCTTCAGAGGACATCAGTGTCTGAGGAGTATCTTCCCTCTGCACGCTTTCTGCATCAATCGATCCTTGCACTTCCTCACTGCTGCCTTTCAAAGGAAGTGAATCGCCTTGCTGTCCTGGCCCTGGGTGCTCCTTCTGAGGAGCGAGCCCATGGACGGTGGGAAAGTCTTGCCCACCCAGGTGTCCGTCCCCTTCGCTCTGAGCCATGGCCTGTGACCGGCACCCTGGGGTCTCTCCAGCAGCAGGGTTTCCCCGAGACACCAAGCACCGCAAAGTCATCTCTGCTCTGTCACTGGCGGGCTTCTGAAGGCTGGGGTCGGTTTTTGCTGTTAAATGGGCACTGTCGACTGACCTGGGGTTTCTGCCGATGCAGGAAAAGTCGGACATTTCCAAGATGCTGGTTCTCTCTCTCTTAGAAAGGTTTCTTCTGCAGTGGAGCTGAGCCCGGCTGGAGGCCGCCAGGAGCCCAGGAGGAAGATTCTCTGAATTCCTCTCCTGAAGGTTATCAGGAGAAAAGTAATCATCGTACGGGGACTCCCCGAAGTCCAGAGTCTGGACCACAGATCTGGTCACAAACTGCAGGCCACTTTCCGATGCACATGGCTGCAACCTGGGTGCGGCCGGCTCCCTGCGCCGCCGCTTTGTCTTCAGTGTCTCCTCAGGAGGGGGCTGTAGGTTCTCCGACATCCTTTTTCTCTTTGCTGAGGAACTCTTGGGTCGTGACCGTCCCACGGGGGGCCCTCCTGTTGCTGGTAACGCAGAAGACGAGCCCCTCTTCTCATCACACCCCCCCGCAGACGGTCCCCCCAAAAGTGCCGCGGTCACCTCTCCCACAGGCTCTTCCTGCTGGCGCGTCCCTCCTCTGCAAAGGTCGCCAGCAGGTTTCCAAGGAGTTAACTGACTGAGGGAGCAGGGAGATGCTGAATGACGAGCACTACTGGTTTTCAACATGGGTGACAAAACACACGTGTCACTTTTAATTTCATCCACGAATCTGTCCAATTTCCCCTCCTGATTCCCAGGTCGAGAGCTTCCACAAAGATCATCGAAAGACGAGTGCAGACCACCAGCACAGGAGTCCTCTGGAAAATATTAGTAAAGAAACTCTTAAAAATTATTTAAATTATTATTAAAGTACTTTCAGTCGATCAATGAAGCGATACTTCAGCGTAGCTACTGGTTCAGAAGGGCATCCCCTACACCCTGGTTCTCCTCCACAACACGTCATGACACCTCCCAGACAGCATTTCTAACCCAGTAACCAGGGCTCCCATGTGGGTATCAGACAGGACAGGGTGGGGAGGGTCGGGGTGGAGAGGGAGGACACGTTCTGGATGCTCACATGCCTCTGCACCTTTCCCCAGGACGCACACCCACACCTTGTCATTAAATCCTCGAGGAGGCCAAAAACTCCCGAAGGGAGAAGAACTACCGCTTTCGGGTTGACACCAAGCATGCGTCTATCACAAAGCATCCACATTGGACACAGCTACCAGGCTCCCCCACTGCTGAGTGAAGCCCTCACATGAGGCTCACATTCCACCTGGCAGACCTGAGTTCTGATTCCACGCAACTCGAGGGTGACGCAGAGCTGCCACCTCTCCCCTGCAAACTGTCTGCGTGTTTACACGCCCTGGCCTTGTCCCTGCTCCATGCTCTCATCTGGATAAACACCACCCTTCCTTCAAAACCCACCGGGATGTCACCATCTAGGCAAATCCTCGCACCAACCTCACCAGGTCTAGGCACACATCCTCCTGTCACTCAGGACTCCACCCAGATCTCTAAGAGCACGCATCCCATTGCCCCATGGTCCTGCGCCTGTCTGTGTCCCTCTCTCGACTAGGAGCCCCAGCATGGACACTACTTTCTGGAACCTGGAGCTGCTTGCTCTGTGCTGGCTCCCCTGGCAGGGGCTTAGCATTTGCTGAACAGAGGGAGGACCTCCACTTTACAGTAACGCCACACTGGGAGCAACAGAAGCGCCTTAACTCTCTCGCTGACACCACTAATGCTCTGCTTTTAAAGAGCGGAGGTAGCCTGCGGAACGGGGAAAGGCCAGCAGATGGACAGTGCCACGTGTCCCTAAGTCAACAGCTGGAATCATGGGGCACTTTTAGTTACCTTTAGCAGCTGAATACGCTTAGCTCTCTTTTCAAAAGGCTGACAAGCAGCGTGACACGGCACTGGAGTGTACATTCTGAAGTGGGACTGCCAAGGTTCGAACCCTGGCTCAGCCGCTCACAATGTGTGTTACTCTGTACGAGCCATCAGACCTCTCTCTGACCTGGCTTCCTCATCAGCAGAACCCGGACAACAGCGCCTACATCACAGGGCTCACGGGGAAATTAAATGAGATACAGACACGCAGAGCAGTGCCCGCCACACGGCAACAGCGGACTCATGGAAGGAAACTGACGCACCGAAAATGAAATCATGACATGGGGATCATTCAAGATAAATCAGCAAATAATTTCAACACACACCAAAGAGACTGAAGAATAAGCCACGCACAAACAGGAAGCTTTGTTTAAACTCCCAATACCGGGGCTCTGCTCTGTGGTTCGTCACTGCTGTGACTCTCAGGGGACACTCTGTAACAGTCACTGAGATTTACGTGGCCCCGACAGGGGCGGGTGAGCAAATGACATGAAATGGGATTCAACCAAAGCAGCTACACCCACAAAAAACCACCGCTCAGAGTGAAGGGAAGGCTCCCGCTTTTACAACACTACGCACAAGGAGTGACTAGTTTTGTCGACTCTTTCCAACACTGCTTCCAATTAGAAATCTTCTGTCTCCTATAGCTGCTGACGATCTGCACAGACTTCCTGGCCCCATTCGATGACTGGGTCCATGCGCTCATCACACACTGTGTAGAACAACTTTTCCTCTACTCCTGTTCTCAGGACCACACAGGTTAAACTGTGTGCAGACTGCTTCACGTACGAGCACAACATTTTTTTTTTCTTTTAATGAGCAAATGACTCTGTGCCAGGAAAGCAAACGCCTAGGAGGAAAACCAGAGGAACCAAAAGGATGCTTAACTCATGTAATTTCTCATGCCTTAATTTCAGTACAACACAATTTCAGGGTGAAATTCATCAATTCTGGTTTTTAACTAACTGTTCTCGTCAGAAGAAATTCCAAATAAGAGAGTAACAATATTCTCAAAGCTTAAATAAACTGCAGAAAAGAAGATAATTTTACCTGAACACAAAGTATTGTGTGAAATGTTCAAAGGCGCTTCACACAGAGAGTTCATGGTGTCATCATGAGAACTTTCAATCATCTGGGATGCTGCAAACATAATCGAAACTCTTCATCAGGTACAACTCTGACACCTTGTAATAGATGAGGCCTGTTGTAAGCCCACTGACCCACTCCCACATGTGTCACACACGTGCACACACACACTTATTCCTTGTGCTGTGCCCTCTAGACTTAAAAACAAGCACAAAACTGTGTTACTTGTATCTATTACAGATGATGAGAACCATTAAAGAATAATTTATACAAACCGTATCATAAAAAAGGCAGGAAATCCTAGGACAGTAAAAGCTGGAAGGGATCTTGGACAGTCAGCCAGCCCAGCCCTTCCCAGAAGCTGGCCAGGCCAACACCTCAGTTAGTCTCACTGCGCGATAACCGAGACTCTCCTCGCGGATGAGCACAGCAGCCACGTCCGTAACAAAGCAGGGCCTCCACCAGCGGAGCCTGGGCTCCTGCAGACGCGAGTAACGTCCACAGACAGCTCGGTGCCACGTGTGGGCGGTGGGGTGGAGTGTGAGCCGGGCTGCTGCCAGCTAGCAGGCATAGGCTGGGGACGCTGCCTGACATTCTGCCGTGCGCCGGACGCCCCACCAACAAAGCTACCCCGCCCAGAACATCCATGCTGTCGAGGTGGAGAAACTTTACAGGTTTCAGGGAAACATCCAGGACGTCAATGTTTAACAACTAGGGTCACAGGTGTTCTCTTCAAAGGCTACACATGCAACAGACCAGAAATAAAACAGACATTTTGGTCTCATATTCAAGATTTTTTTTAAGGAGACTTAAAAGGATACTTTTTTGAGAATGCTTAAGCAGCGATTATAAAATGAAAACAAACCAAGATGTAAGGAAGGTGAGCACAGAGAAAACTTTCAGTTGTTGATTTCAAACTGTGCTGGAGGCAGTTAAGTAGCAGAATTAACACTGCAAAGTAAAAATCTTAATAAAGTACAAGATTTTATGGAAGAAAACTGAAACAGGTAAAAAAACTGGTAGAATCAGGAAACTAACTAAAACATCTATATGACAGAGAAAAACCTCTTTCCACCACCATTTAACCACCTACTTCACAACCGTCACCGTATGACACGCAGGCACTCACAGGTCGGGGAAAGGTTTTCCCGTTTCTCCTTCATCTCCTGCAGCCTCTCCTGCATTGCACTGCAGCGGCCGCTGCAGATTTTAATGCTGGGACTGTACATCAAGGAGCCGTTAGATTTAAATAAGAGAACAGGCACATCGTTATCTGAAAATATACAAAAATCCAGTTTTAAGCTCAAAAAAATGCCTTCCTCCTTCAACGACATGATTTCTTTCAAGGACACCTGCCCCCCCCACTCCACAGCTTTCCTCTTCCCTTTCGACGCCATCACCTACTACCAGCACCACTTCACCCGCCACCACGGCCGTGATCCTCGACCACGACCTGTGGCCCCGCCTGCTTCGTCCCGAGGAGCACAATCCCTGCACCACCTCCTCCCACGGCCTCTGACCCGAGGCGCCAGGTGACAGGAGCCCCGTCAAAGATGACGAACTGAGACACAGAGTTAAGAGAAGGTAAGGCCAGGATGCAATCTGGTTCCTGAGTGTGGATTCTACTCTGACTATGTTTCCTTAGGATGACACTGAGGCATTTTAAACCTGGGTGGGGTGTCCAGGGAGCTGAGAGTTATAGCCTTCAGACTGAAGCACGGGAGGTGGAGGTGGGGAGAAGTGGCTGGAAGGCCAGTCAAGAAGCTGCCATGACGCTCCCGTGAGGCTGGCGTGGGCTCTGAAGAGGAGCAGAGGAGGAGTCAGGAGAGCACTTAAGAGCAGGGTCTGGGGGTCCTGGTGGGTGAGGGGTGTCAGGGCAGACAGATGCCAAGGAGAATCTGTGTTTCTGTCTGAAGCAGCACCACACGGTCAGTGCAGCTTTGGTAGGGAGGGACCAGCGTGGCAGAGAGAGAAAGAGACCTGATCCATCGGGCAAGGAAGGGGTGAAGCAGAAAACAAAGGAGCAGGCAGCTCTGGGAACCGTCTGGCAGCGCTCCCAGGCTGTACGTCCCAGTCAGCCGTGCTGCGTCACCACTGACAGACTTAAAACTTAAAGCAAAGCCTGCTAATTCTGTGTGAGTAATTCCAAAACACAGAGCAGAGACTTTGTCACAGCAATACAGACTAAAACAGAGGGAAAAACTGGAGGAATTACTGCTTTCTGTTTCTATGCCGTGCAGTATTGCTACCAAAACTGCCCACTTGTATCAGTGACGGGTCAGAATTGGTCTGAAACACTAAACTTAGAGAATAGTGAAAAAGACCAAAAAAGAGCAATACTAAAAACACATTAAAGTACTTTCAAGTTTGATGATGTTTGAAAGTATTTTTCCAAATCATTAAAAGAATGTGTCATCTAACATTTGCCTATTTTGGGTAACAAAACAAAAAGACCAAGTATTGGGTAAAAATACAAATCATATATAAAACAAAGCAGAAATAAGTAGGGATTTACTTCATTAGGGATAACCAGTCAAAGCTCACATTTCTCCTGGAATCATTCGTGAAAACACTAAGTTCTCTCAGTCTGATGAATGGCTCAGACTCCGTGATGGGCAGGTTCAACGTGTGGCCCCACCACGGCTGCAGGGAAGTGTCGTGCAGGCGGCTCGCACCTGTCCTACCTGCCCTGTTAAAACGACTGCGGTCCCCGAGCTCCGTCCCCCGGGACGCACCGGCCACCAGGCAAGTCAGCCCAGCACAAACACAAGCGCCAAGGACCAGCCTGCACCGCGCAGCTTACCCAGAGTTGTTTTCTGCTGCTGGAGCGCTCTCGCCATTTTCTCAAATTTCTTTTGCAGTCTTTTATCATTCTCTGGTGTTTTAGGAATAAAATCTTTGGGCTGCATACACTTGCGCTGTACAGAAAGGACATAAAAATTAACACTGTACCGCAACTCTGTAAGACAGGAAAAGAGGCCTCTCACACACATTCCTGATACCTTTTGTAACAGCAACAATAAAACCTTCTTAAAGAGGCATGTCTTCCACTGTATGCAAATTGGAAATATCAATTGTCTGCAACTACAAAAATACGGACAGAATTTTAAGACTGAATCACGGCTACATGTTAAGTGGTTAGGTTTTCTGAGGCATTTTCAGGATCCCAGCATTCTTAGTTCCCATGAAGGTTCTTGAGTCAAGTTTAACTTGCAACTGCACTTGGAAAAGAGAAGGAAAGGGAATGCTTTTACGGATAAACACAACTCAAGTGGTAAAGGGTATGAGCAGACGTTATTGATGTTTCAGAACTGGAATAATTTCAAAGATGAATAAAATCCAGCCTTGGGCAGAGTGTCAAAAACAGGTGCTCCTGTACACTACGGGAGGGGCCGTGGAGTCCATTTCCGGATAGTCCACTTGCAGAGATAAACTCAAATACGTCACCTAAACAACATACTTAGTAGAAACTGTCAATGACCTAAGGCTGCATGAACCTAAGACACAGCTACACTGTGTAACACGGAGCAGGAGGAGAAAGTGCAGCCACGTACACACTGACATAAAACGTGAAAACACGGTTAAGTGAAGAAAAAGCAGCCCACCAAACAGTACACGTGACGTAGGAGCCCCATTCATATAAAACGCCTGTGCATGCATCTGTGCAACACACACGTACTGAAGGCCATCCGACCCGCAAGGACCCGAGTCAAAGTGCTTACTCCGAGAGAAGGGAAATTAAAAGAATCTGCCTGATCTGTGCTTAAGCAATGTATTACAGTGAGAATGTGCTCTTACTGTTGATGCGTTTAAAATAAAAACTTCTTAAAACAGTAGACACGGCTACTGCTTATCTATGACAGAATCTTGAAACGTTTTCTTTCACGACCATCCAGTGAGACCAACACGGAGACTGAGGTGAGGTTCCCATCGCTACACTGGCGAGTTCTGGCTTCTCTGAGATGAAATGTAGTGGAGATACAGGATTTACTATTTTCAGGGAATCTGGAGGCCACAGGAATGTCTCCTGTAACCTACAGGAAATGTACAGTCCTGCTCTGCCTGACGCAGTTTGGAGAGTCTGCAGATCCTTGCTCCAACAGGGATTCTCATGTGACAACAAAGTGACTGATTCGCCTCAGTAGACTCATTTATCCACAAATCCAGAAATCAATTAAACTTTTAAATAATAAAAACCTTAAAGGGTTATAGTTCAAAGGTGAATCAGACCTCAAACGAAAGCAGTATCTTTGTATCTGCACAGATTTTCTATAATAAATAACTTTATATACTCGGCTGTTTCAGCTTCAGACTTTGAGATTTTCCAGCCCCTCAGATGAAATGTACTTTACTAGAGACATAACACCCTGAATTCTGCAGGAGTTACCAGAGCACCTAAATGGACGCTGGTCTCTTGGCAACTCTGAGCTTTCCACTGGCCAAACACAGTCTCTTCCATTTCTTACAAATCACATTAAAGCATTCGTGGGATAAAATAATCTCTATAACATGTTAAAAAAGAAGTGTGAAAAGACCAGTATCATCAATTGCAATGTTTAAGACAACTCCTGAATGTTTTTCTAAAGTTTGATTTTCTAGGAATAAAAAAGAGAATAAATTCCTGATGGCCATGGCCCACACTGAAGTGGAGTACTTACTTTTCTCTTAATTAGGCTCGGGAAGTGCTCGTTAGTGCTGGCCGCGGGGTACAGCGCCTCGTCCACGTGCGCGCCAGCTGTCCTGCATCTGGGGAATTACAGCAGAGTCGTGAGTGTGTCCCCACTGCCGCCACACAGCCTTGACGTGCACGCGCATCAGTCAGCAACTTAAGACAGCCCACGCAGGCCAGGTTAACAGGCCCGTTATTACCAAACACAAAAGGCAATACAAATTCAGCTTTCCAGATCTTCTCTATGAGAGTAAGGGAAGTGAGCAGCAGATACAGTAAGTACAAATTTTATGCAATAATTTCAGACTTGTAACACGTCAAGATGCTCAGTGTGTGGCACTCATAAAGGTATAAACACGTGCCACAGCCCTCTTGGTGCAGGCTGTTGTCCCGCTGGTGTGCAATCTCCATTCTTAAAGTGAGACATACTTTACCGCACAATTCCGTACACACACGTTCCTAGAATTTCCTTTTCATTCTTAGAGAGCTTTCTACATCAGTAGGGATATATTCTTCCTCGTTCTTTTTTTTATTGCACTGTAATTTAAGTGTATTTCCAACCAGCATTTGCATGCTAAATGTTGAACAGTGACACGTGGCTGTGAATCTCAGCATGCAGACAGAAGACCCCGACGCGAGCTCAGAACTACTGTTACTTGGTAAGAACACATCCCTGCCTCCCACTCCTCATGAGCACACGGCAGAGTCAGAGGCACAACATAAGTCACCCTGCACATCAAACGCAGAAGCAGATGTGAGAATGCAACTGTCTTCTGTTAAGCCAGATGTGAACAAAATTTCCAAAACTGTAAAAATGTAAAGAATGCAGCACAATCAATGGGACAAGCAAAGGACAAGAAGGCAGAGCAAAGGCCACACAGCAAGGTGACAGGACAGGGTCAGGAGGGCCACCACCCGATGGAGCCAGCATGAGGGAACAGGTCTGGGGGACTCAGGTCTTCTGTCTAGAAGAGCAGAGACAAAAGGCAGCGAGCGAAGTGAACTGGGCTGTGACTCGGGGACAACACGCACCCTCATGTTATGAAATGAACGAAAAGGAGTCAGGAGACAGTGACACACAGGCCAGGCTGGTGTCGCAAAGGCTCTATGGCATAAGGAGTGTGAGGGGCCCTGGACAGGTCACTGAGGGACAAGCTCCAGGACAGGGACACTGAGACCAGGGCTACTGGGGTAGGAGATGCCCAAGATTTCAGCAAAGCCTGGGAGGCTGGGCCAGGGATCCTGGACTGGGCAACACTCAGGATAAGAACAGAGTGTGCCTGACCCCTGTTTAAATCTGGCCAGCTGAGCACTTACGTTTTTCCCTCTCTCCCTAAAGCCCCAATCAAATGACAGTAAAGGAAAACAAAACAACAGAAATAAAGAGTAGGTAAGAGGTGTCTGGGGACCTGAAACAAACAGAAGCCCCAGCCCTGCAGTCTGGGGATGGGGGGGAGGGCAGGGGAGAGAGAACAGGAAGGGTGGGAGTCCTCCCCTCACAGCCAGAGGGGCTTGGGAGGGAGGCGAGGATGGGTGTGAGCAGCGGCAGCCTCGCTCCTGACTACGCCCCACTCGCCCCTCCAGCAAAGCAGAGGCCCTGGGCTCTGCTCTCAGACAATGTCTCTGGACCAGAGACGCCAGGCCCAGCTCAGGCAGGACCAACCTTCACAGGAAAGGAAATGTATTTGTGGTGCGTTTTCAGATACAGCTAAAAACCACATCCACAGTCATAATGGCATCAGCGAAACTACTGATTTAATTGATCACATGCACTGGAATAATGAGAGGGTAAGAGTCCTGGGGGAGGGTGTGCACACAGCAAACGCACGCACATGGGATGGGGTCCCCCGAAGGCAGCTGGGTGGAAACCAAGCCCTCGCTTCCACTTCAGGAAGTCACTAGACAACGCTGAGAACCATCAAGGCAGCAGAGAAGCCCCAGTAATCAGCAGTCCGGAGGGAAGTCAGAGTTCCAGAAGGAGCCGCACGAGCAGAGGCGTTGCCTCCGGGGAATAGGAATGGGGTTAACAAGGGACAAGTGTGTTCACTATAAACCTTGTAAGACTAGTTGATTTTCCTCTTTGCTGTGTGTGTGTGTTGCGTTGCTGGGGTGTGTGTGTGGTGGGTGTGTGTGTGTGTGGTGGTGTGTGTGTGTTGCTGGGGGGGGGGCTCTCTTCATAACAGGACAGGGAAGGGAAACCAAGCCTCCCTCGGTTCTGGCTTGCACAACAGGGCCCCACAAACCAAGACAGAAAATCAAGTTTAGGAGCAGCTGGAAATGACAACAAGCTCAGATCTGGACGTATTTAAACCCAGGGACTCGCCCAGCGCCCCCATCCTGCACACGCCGGGGATGTCCTGGGATGAGGATGGATGTAGTGAAGCTCCACTCCTGAGGCCAGGCCTGAGGGAGCACGTCTGTCCCAAAGCGTCCTCTCCTCACCAGATGCCAGCACTGTCGTCCCCCCGCCTGGGGGCCTCCTGGGGCACATGCCCCGCCCCCCCGCAGTGACCCTCCCTCCCCCGGGCACCCATCCTCCTCCTCCTCCGTCCTCCTTCGTGTCTCTCACCTCAGCTCAAAGCTCACCGCCTCCAAGAGGCCTCCCCAGGCAGCTGGTCCAAGCACGGTAACCGACTCCAGTGGCCCTCCTGGACCTTTAAGGACCTCACGCAAGTTTTCCTGCACTTACAAAACTCATTTTCCTCATTAAAAGTGTGTCCCATGAAAGCAGGGAACACGCCTGCTGAGTCAGAGCTGTAACCCCAATGCCTGACAGAGTAAGCACTCGAAAAGATTTTCTGAACAATGAGTAAACTGTAGGAAGATGAACACTTCTGACCTCCTTATCTTACAGCATACATGTAAGCACACACCAAAAAATATACACATATAGCTCACAACAGATCATAGAACTACACACAAAAGCTAAAACTATAAAGATCCTAAAAGAAAATGCACTAAAAATTCATGATTGTCAAGCAGGCAAAGACACTTAGAATATTGAAGACAAAGCACAAAAGAAAATGAAAAACTGGACTTCAACAAAAGACTTGAAATGCTTTGAAAGACATGATAAAGAAAGAAAAAGATAAAGCACAAGATTCAAACCAAAGACAATACACGAACAGTCACCAAGCTCGTTAGCCTATGTTCAGCAGCAGTCGTCGGGGGAATACAAACTGAAACCAGATGAGACCCTCAGACTTATGGTTAATTGATTTTTGACAAGAGGCCAACATAAGTCACTGGGGAAAGAACAAGTCTTTTCAGCAAATGGTGCCGGGACAAATGTAGGACAACCTACACAAAAAAGAATGAAATTAGACCCCTACCTCGTACCGCACGCTAAAGGTAACTCAAAATGCATCAAAGATCTACATGTAAGAGTTAAAACTATAAAATTCTTAGGAAAAAAGATAGAAGTAAATCTTTGTGATCCTGGTTTTGGCAGTAATTTTTTAAATGACATCAAAGCACAAAGAAACAAACAAAAATATACTAGACTTCATCAAAATTAAAACCTTTTTGCTTCAAAGGAAATGGTAAAGGAGATGTAAAAACCTGCAGAATGGGAAACATATTTGCAAACTGTGTATGATATGGATACATGTGACATACCCATAGGATGGAATACTCCATGAGAAATGAGGAGATTCTGACACATGCTACAACGTGGAGGGATCGGGAAAACACTACGTTATGAGAAAGAAGCCAGGCCCAAAGCCCACATACGGTGTGGTTCTGTTACACAAGATGTCCAGAACAGGCAAACCCACAGGGATAGGGAGGAGACCAGTGGCTGCCCTGCGCTGGGGGCGTGGGGACCAGGGATGTAAAGGTTTCATTCTGAGGTGGTGACAATGCTTCAACTGATTGTGCTGGTGCTTGCACAACTCTGCAAATACATCAAAACCCACTGAATTGCACACTTTAAATGAGGGGGTTATATCCATCACCAAAGCAAAAACAAAACCATCAGTACCACTACATATCCACTGGAATGGCTACAAGTCAAGATTGAGAAATTCCAAGTGGCGGTAAAGATGTGGGGCAAGTGAAGACTGATGCCCTGCTGGCAGGAATGGAAAATGACACAACCCAGACAACAGTCTGGGTATCGATCCAGGAGAAGTGAAGACACACAAGGTCACAAACATGACTGATCACAGAACCTGAGTCCCAACAACCAAAAACTGAAAACTACCCAAACAACTATTAACAGGTGAATGGATGAACAAACTGGTACATGTGTGCAACAGAATACTACTCAGCTGTTAAAGAAACGAAATTACTGATACATATACATCCACAAGGATAAATCTCAAAAACATCACGTTGAACAAAAGCAGGCACAACACAATACACACCGGATGACTCCATTTACACAGGATGCTACAACAGGCAAAGCAAACTGATTGATTGTGACAAACCTGGTGAGGGGGGAGGGCAGGGAAGCTGACTTACAAGGGATGCGGGAAACTATTAGGTGATGAAAATGTTCTTTATTTTGATGGTGGTGGCAGTAACAAGGGTAAGTATGTTTGTCAAAGTTCAATAAACTATACACTTAAAATAGGACTATTTCATTTTATGTAAATAATATTTTTATAAAGTTGAACTTTAAAAAACAAACTAATGACTGAAGCCTGTAGGAAGCCCACAGTTAAGGAGTGGGCAGAATAATGGATCTACTGTAAGGGACGAGAAGCAGGCAGCAAGGATGGGAAGGACCAGGAGAGAGGCTTCTCTCTCTTTCATGATCCTTTGATTACCAATTTTCACCTGGAGCAGTGCTTACCAGCTTCTCTCAAGTGAAACATCCCCTATTTCCCACTATTAGAAGCAACAAGATAGCGGAAAAGAGGTTGCTGGACCGGGGGAGAAGACCCGCCTAACCCCGCCATCACATACAAGACGCTTAAACCACAGTCATCACCACCGCGAGGCTCAGCCAGCTCTCGGAAGCCTCCCTCCAACCCTGGTGGGTAAGTGCTACTGGTTTCCTCCCATTTCACATCTGAGGAAACTGAGGCTCACAGAAGATCATCTGCCCAAGTTTACAGAACTGTCAGTCTCC